GTTTCAGTACAGAATTTTAAATAAAATATTGGCAACAAATTCTTTTTTATTCAAAATTAAGAAGGTTGTTTCAAAGCAATGTACTTTTTGTCAAAAAGAAGAAGAGACAATTGAACATATCTTATGGGAATGTGATCTTGTACAATCACTCCTTGAAAACTTTGAATATTATCTCCAGCAGAAAAACCTCCATTTGTCCATAACAAAAAAATCATTTATTTTAGGTATTGGAGGAAAAAATAATGAAATAGCTAATATCTTAATCTTATGGTTGAAATATTATATTTATACTTCTAGATGCACTGAAAAACCTCTAAATGTGCACTCTGCGATATCACACTTGAGTTATTTTAACCAAACACAAAAATATATATCATATAAAAATGGTGAAAAAGAGAAATTTGACGATCAGTGGAACAGGTGGAACCAACTATTTTTGTAACTTTCTCTCTCTCTCTCTCTCTATACACAATTCTGTTAAAGAAAAGATATTGGATATTTTGTATATAAGGAATTGTGTTGAAAAAAATAAAATAATTAAAAAAAAAAAAAAAAAAAAAAAAAAAAAAAAAAAAGATTAATCCTCATTAATCACCTGCGCCAGACTCTTTTTATACATACAAAATAAATTCTACCTCCAACCACGGGTATAAAACAGAGTTCATTTCAAAAGTATATTTTTCATAAGCATTTTGAACATACTGAATTCCAATCAAGGGTAGGTTAGAGGTGTTTTTTTCAAATATTCTGACATATAAGACTTAAAAAACCATTAACGACCTGTGAATTTTGCAAAAGCTATCTAGCATTTTACATGCAGTGTGAAATAAAGTGTAAAGTTCATGACACTCTCCCCGTCATAACACATCAAGTTTGCAGTGACTTGACGTTCTTTTCCATTATGACGTCACATTTTGGTAGTTCAGAGATGTGTAGGCACAAAGTGCACTGTGATATTCTACGGGAAACCTTAACCTACCTGCGTACAAAATATTTCATGAGAAATTCAACTTGCCTGCAAATTTGAGGGTATTTTCCACACAATATCATAATCTGTATTAAAACAAAGCCAACACACATTTTTCCCAAGCAAGAATCAGTTAGAGAACAACCTCTTCTTACAGATTTCCACAAAAAATCTCAGATTAATCCTCATTAATCACCTGCGCCAGACTCTTTTATACACACAAAATAAATTCTACCTCCAACCACGGGTATAACACAGAGTACATTTCACAAAAGTATATTTTTCGTAAACATTTTTAACATGATAAATTTCAATGAAGGGTAAGTAAGCAATGTAAAACTTTAACTTTTGCCATAACTTTTGAATGGTTGGTGCTAGGGCTTTCATACTTCACATCTGTATTCCTTGTGACAAGACCTTCCTCTGGATATCAACCTCTTTGACTCTTTGACCTTGACCTAGGATTTTGACCTACTTTGGAAAACTTTAACCTTGGTCTTAACTTTCGAACAGTTGGAGCTAGGGTTTTCATACTTCACATATGTAATCCTTGTGACATCACCTTTCTTTGGATACCAATCACTTTGACCTTTTGACCTTGACATAGGAGTTTGACCTACTTTCATAAAACTTTAACCTTGGCCATATCTTTTGAATGGTTGGTACTAGGGCTTTCATACTTCACATATGTAATCCTTGTGACAAGACCTCCCTTTGAATACCAACAACTTTGACCTTGACCTTGACGTTTTACTTACTTTTAAAAAACTTTAACCCTCACTATAACATTTGAACAGTTGCAGCTAGGGCTTTCAAATTTCACAGGTATATTCCAAGAGACAAGACCTTTCTTTGGGTACCAACGTTTTTTTATCTTTTGGCCTTAGATTTTGACTTGCATCTGAGAAACTTTAACCTTCACCATAAGCTGCCATATGGGGGCATCAGTGTTTCACAAACACATCTTGTTTTATTTTTGTATCTTTACAACAAATTGCAGAGTGTCATGTCTCTTAGATCAGGGTTCTCCACAAGGGTTTTTTCCATGGCGGCCTTCCATGGTTCAATTTATGTGCACCATTGTTAAAAGAGCTGCACCATGGTTAAAATCAGCAGCTGCCATGATTAAATTTTATTGCATTTCAGTATTGACACCTTATTATTAATTACCTGAGCAGTTAATTGTGTTTATACTATGATTGGCATTTACCTCAAGAGCAAGCAGACTATACATGCTAAACAAACAGGGTCGTTGACCTGCATACCGTGAAGCGTGACAATTGAGAGTCAATCTGAATCAGCAGATGATCAATATCTTGAGAGTTAATTTTCCTGTACACATGTAATTTCGGGAAACTCCAACATGTTCACTATATAGTAATGTTCAGATTTACAACCCGTAAAGATAACAGCGCACAGTAATGTAATAATGTCTAATAATCGACAAGCAATTAAATCAGTTTCTGTGGCCAAAAAGAATTCACCCTTTCAAAATTTCCTATCCCTTGTATTTAATTAATTCCTCTTGCTCCATTTTTAATGTTGATTTTATTATTTTTCTGATAAAATGGACACGAAAGCCAATCACCACGTCCAAGTCTTGGAGTTACCTCCCGTTTTCACTTTCGGGCAGCTTCCTCCATGGTTAAATTCTGAAATGTAGTCAAGAGAACCCTGCTTAGGTAACAATTTTATAGTCTAAAGAATAAACATAATTAGTGTTTTGAAGTTTTATTAGGCTGTAGCATTGCAAATCTTTTCCATAAAAAAATACAACAAACAAATCTGCAGATGGGCATTTGTGTGTGTATCAAGGTTGACATGATTTTCTTGCAGTATAAACTTTTTATGATATTATTAAACAATATTTGCTGTGGCGGGGCACATTATTTTTTTTTTTTTTTGGGGGGGGGGGGTTCTAAGTTGTTCTCCTCATTGACCATGCAAGTCAGTTAAAGAAAGAAGTGTTTTGACCCTAAAGTCAAAGCATTAAGTAGCAAACCACTAAAGGTTTTATGCAAACATACCAAAGTTGTGTCAAATTTTTTAAATATAATGGACCCGGTGGTTAGTTTGGGGATAAAATTCGGGCTTATAGTACAAATGAAATGGGTTCAATCTATATTACAAAAGAGTTCAAAATATTTCATAAAGATATACTAAGAGGAAGAAAAATATTAATTTTTTAGAAATTGTTTTATGTTCAGCAGGTCAAATCCACTCAGATGAGCATCATGGCCCTTGGTCCTCATAGCTGCAGCTGATAAGAGATATCAAAGAAGATATAAAGAAAAGCAAGTTAGTGCATCAATTACAGTTGTGTATAGGAAGAATCTCTAAAAATCTTTTCAAGAACAACTGCGACAGAAAAGATGAAACTTGGGATAGCTAGATTATAAATTGTTCAAATCATTGCCCCCTTGGGTAGAGTGGGACCACAATAGGGAATCAAAGTTTTACATTGAAATATTGCTAGGAAAAAATCATTAAAAATCTTCTTCTCAAGAACCACTGGGCCAGAAAAAAATGAAACTTATGACTGGAAGCTTCTGGGGGGTAGTGTAGATTCTAAATTGCTCAAAAATTATGACACCCTGGGTTAGGGTGGGGTCACAATAAGTATTACAGGGGGGGGGGGACAGGATCTGGTGAGGAAAAGTAGGGCCAAAGTTTCTCAGGTGAGGGTTGTGGCCCATGGGCCTCTTGTACTATGTTTTGTATACATACCTTAATAATGAGCAACTTCATTTCTTGCATTACAGTGTACATGTCAGTTTGTGGAATGACTTTTTTAGAGGCATTGAAGAGAATTAATGCATGGATGTTCAATATAAAAGGAGATGGGCGAACATAGCGTGCAGAAAGCCTATAGCTTCAGATAATGTACAAATCATGTTCAGTTTGTGAATTCGGTATTTAGAGTAATGTTCTCACTATTGAAATATACCAAATTGTGATAAACAAAACTTTTCTCAGGAAAATTTTCTTGGCAAATTCATTCTTTTATTAAAAAATGATGTACGTGGTATTTGTGGGGTTCGATCAACCCTATAGCAATAAAAATCCTGAGTATCATTTTCTTTCGAGACTAGCACGCTAACCAGTGCGCGTACTAGACTATACACAAGTCCTGAAGAATAGTGGCATTTAAATCATGTTTGTGATATAACCCTTGACTTAATGGACCTCAAGTACTTCTCAAAAAGATGTGAATGACATGTCATAAAAGTATATTTTTAAGGTATAGTGGGTCTTTGCTCCATATTTTTGGAAACCAAGAAATGTATATTTTTATGCAAACTTCGAGGATTAACTTTAAAAAAAAATGGAGCAAAAACCCACTCATATCGAAAAATAGTATTATAGAATTGAATGAGAAAATGACTCTTTTTTGCCCTCTTTAGTGTGTGTACAATATTTCATAAGCAAATAATTTCAATCTTTGAGTTTTTTAGCAAATTGTAGAAATTTTATATAAAGTATAATTTAATGTTAGATGAAATATTGAGGAAAGTTTTGATATAATTGAGATTTAATTTTTCACCTTCATGTTTGTCACACTATAGGCTTTTCCCTCGTCTTGTTAACCCATCTTCTTAATATTCAGTGCAATCAGTGACCTATATACTAATCAAAATAAATCATACTTCATCAATTTTGAAAATCAGAGATAAAGGAAGGAAGATGGAGTATTTTGAAATGGAAAAAAAAAATTTTTTTTTGGTATCAAAATTTATAATCATGATTGTTTCATTATTGATCTCCTGACAAGAAGACATGCTAAAACAGCTTTTGTTGAAGATATATCACTAACAATATTTAAATGGTTAAATGTTAGATACTATGTATGAGTATTTATATCAGTTTCCTTATTTTTATTTATTTATTTATTATTATTATTATTTCGGGGTGGGGTGGGGGTACATCTTATTGGGCTTATGTATGATGGACCGAAGAATCTGGAGGTCGAGACGTCTGGCTTCCGCTTTGAGTACGATTAGACTGGACGCCGTTTTCTTTGTTTACTTTCAAAATGGCGGACCAAATGTCGAGTGATACATCAACTAGTGCTTCATGTGACTTAGCATCACCCCCAAACCGTTCGAGGAAAAAAAGAGGTGGATGCTTATCGAAGGATGATGGAGCTAAAAAGAAAAAACAAAGTTCCAGATCTTCGGACACTGATTATAACTGGGAATCAAAGTCGCACAAAAGGAAAACACATGTATCAAGTTGGACAAAAGAAAGGGCTGAGACATATGGATTGTTTTATGAAAAGAAAGCATCGAATTTTTCAGAATTTTATGATCTTTTTAGTTCCTGCAAGGGTAAAAGCAGATATGGCTTTATCTATCCGTTAGAGGGTGAAGAAAAAAAATTGTTGGAATCTTTGGTGGAGCAGACCGATAAAATGATAGAGAAACACGGAGTTGAAATGGAGACGGGCTGGGAATGGACAGTAGCTGCAGATTGGCCCTTTGTTTGGACGAAGTGCTGTGATGCAGTCAGGGTTTTGAATGAGTCTTGCAGACCTGCAGTTTATTCTGGGTGAGTTCAACTAGTTACACAGATATAAGTAAATTATTTAATAAGTTATTGGATAATAATTTGATTTTGTTTGTATTCTAGCCTCTGATTGGTTAATAGCCAAAAAGGAACACAATTATTTCTGTATAACCTGGTTTGGTATGGGGACCCCCCCCCCCCCCGACAGCCAGCTGAATCATCTGTATCAATACAATCCTCTCATTTCCAGTCCTCGGGATTCGTGGAAAATTCCAGATTTAATAAATGTACCTTTAACTTCAAGCAATAATTCAATCATGGCCAACATTTTTTGGGGGAGAAAATGCGCGATGACCTTTTGTAAAAAAAAAAGAATTGCACATTTCACTGTATTATAAAACAAAAATAAACAACATAGTGATACAATTAAAAACATTTTTTAAATATTATTATTTATTTATAAGATTTACAACTTTTTATTCATACATTGTTTATGAGTACCATATGTAATTTTTTGAAATTATAAAAAAAAAAATATGTGCTTCACTGTATAGTATGCATGCCCATAAGAGTGTAATTTAAATAATAATCATGGTAAATATCATAGTTTAACTCGGCAATTAGAAAAATTAATAAGGTTCTTCAGACAGTCTGAGTTTCCAGCTTTTAATTGATGGATGAATGGATTTTCCTCACTAGTAGGGAGCAAGAGAGCCGTGTCCTGGATTTAAAGATCTGAAATTGAAATGATCAAAACTTCCATCCTTTAAAATAACATGTGTAATCTAGTATGAATGAAATACATGGATTATCAGATCCTCTATTCTTTCTTTTACTCTTATTATAATATATGATTTTTTTTCTTAAAATCTCTATCATTATTGTAGTCATGTTCTAATATGCTAAATATAAATTTTATATTTTAAAATTCAGAAACTTTATTACCCTGTTTAGCTGCCTAAATTCAAGAAGTCTTCTAAAGGTACTGTCATGTTGCTCTGCACTTTTTCTTTCATTGCTGTTTTCCTAGCCACAGTGATACTACTGTATGAAATATATAAATTTGCAGGTAGAATGGCAAGCTTGTGCTCTCTGTTTTCCTGAAACAAAATGTGTTGTAAAATTGATGAAAATTTGCATAAAAATGAGAAAATTCGGAAATTGACATATTTTTTGTCCTTCCTGTGACCTTTGCGTATCCCATAGCTTAGAACCAATACTCATTTTGTGGCAGCGGTGACAAGAGGTTTTTATTGATAATCTGATGCATCATTCTAAAAGACACCCCAAACCAGGGGCCAAAGAACATTTTCGGAATCTCAGACACCCTACAGTTGACTTCAGACAGCGGACTTTTCACGTAAGGGAACATGTCAAAAAGTGAATAATATAAATAAATTTTGTAGTCTTGATTTATGTACTCGATAATCACATTTCATTCTTATTTGTATGATTAACACTACTCTACATTGTACAAGTGTATACATGCATGTGGTATTGAGGGAGAAGAGGTCTCCACCAACTTTTCCTAAAATAATGATTTGCCCCCTTTCCCGAGAGATTATTTGATTGTTTTATTCCAGTGGCATCATTTTCCCAACAACAAATAGAAACCAGGAATCTCCAAGAACTAAGAAAATGTAAAGGACTTGCATTTTGATATAGATACCTTAAAGGGTTTTAATCACGTATCTAAATTTCTTAAAAATGAAACACTATTATATTCATGAAACATATATAATTATCGTTTAATTATGCAATAATGTTGAAAACGGTCGTAATTAGACGATGAAACGCCTGTAATATAGGGTCCTCGAAGTGAAAATCTCCACTAATTAGATAGGGGTCACGTGGTACTGAAACGTCATAGGTGTCAATGGTCAATAGAACTCTTAAAGCTTATCGTAAGAAAAAATATATTGAATAGATTTTTACGCTAAATTAATAGAATACAAAGTATGGCCGGTTGAAATTTTGACATCGACTATATTCCTTTGGTTATTATAGACTGTCACATTTTAGGTATGAACATCTAGTAGAGAGAAATAACCAGAAAATATGCCGACAATTGGAGAGAGGTCACCAAAGACGAAGTCTTTGACAACTCGGGACTTCAACTAAATAGAACGAAATACTAAAGTTTAACTTCATAAACATTTATAAATATGAGAATTTTAAATTCTCTTCATTATTATTTTAATTAATTATAAATAAATAAATCCTGTATATCTTCTATCTGTTCTAGCAGTGAATATCATGTACTAGAAATGACTCTTCTTCAATGGCGCCGCACGCCATTACGAAGTTCACAACATTCCTGCTAATAGTATATTCTGTGTGACTTTTAAAAATTGCGTGTTTGTCATTTTTAATTTTTTTTAAAGTATCTTTCCTTAAAATTTTTTATAGGACAGAAAAAAAAAATTGTGATCGATCGGGCAAAAACGATTGTTCTGAATGGAGATAAACGCCATTGCATTTGCAGAGAAAGGCCCCCTTTCATCTCTCGACCAAGTCCAGGAAATGTGGGGGAAAAAAAATCTTCCTTAAACCTTTCTTGTGCACATTTGTGCACCATTAAGCCATAAATTATACCTTACAAGCTGTCAATTATTCAATTATTACTTAATTATTTTCTAACAGGTTTAACAGACACAACAAATGAGCCCTTTTGTATACACAATAAGTACTTCGCTTGGCCAGGATTGACACCTATGACGTCAGAGCAATGGCGCGTAACATCGGCGATCAAAATATGCATATTGAGAAATTCAAACTTTGAGTCGCTGAAACATCAAAAATATTAATTTTCTAGCAAAGATTTTCAAATATGTGATTTTAATAGCATGTAAACTTTGTCATATCAAAAAATTTTGAGACGTGATAAAAACCCTTTAACTATGAATTGCATAAATTATTAAACCAATATGAATTTAATTTTTTTGAATTAAATTCTAATTCAAATCTATCTAAAGAAAAATCAGCAAACCATATAGTTCAACATTCTTTTTAAAAAAAGTTTGGCAATTGACAGACAAATATTTTTTGTAAAAAATTGTTTTCTTAAATGTTTAAATTAGTGACCTTAAATGTTTAAATTAGTGACATTAAATAAAACAAATGACTTATGTATTCCCTTAACTAGCCATATGTTATTGGTAGAATTGAATTGTTAAATTCTATAAATCTAGTAATCCTACCCGAGGCACAATCAGAGATGGACACCTAATCCCTTAATTGACTTCTGTTTATATTTATTGACACTTAATCTTTCATCTACTTTAATTCTATTATATACATGCTGCTAAAATGTCATCATTCGCTCAATAATTGTTTAATACTTGATTTCTTAATACTTTTTGTTAATCCTTTATTTTACTCTTTCTTTGTTCAGTATGTATGTTTTGTTGTGAAAATTTATAGTCAGTTGGAATCAGACCTTCGGTGCTGATACATCCTAAACTCATGTAAAAGTATATTCCATGCTGATTCTATATAAAAGTACTAAAACTATAATGCGTGTTGGCTTATTGGAGGTTTTATGAATCTGGGTTCAACAATAAGAGGAAAACTCACGGTTGGCCCAGAATTAGAATTTGACGGACAAATTTTACGCTGTAAAACTGGTAATGCTGAAATGTTTTCATTATATTACTACTCAAATAAAAAAAAGTTAAAATTTGAATGTGTTTAAAGAAAAGGGTTTGAAAATACGGTATTACTTCGATAACTCTGAATGCAATTAAAATAACTTTCTCCTTTCTTATAAATAATTTTGAACAAAATTCCTTATGATGGTTAAGATCTTGCGTTTGTTTGTATGTTGTTTAACGTCCCTCTTGAGAATTTTTCACTCATATGGAGACGCCACCACTTGCCGGAGGAGAGCTGCAAATTTTGTCCCATACTCGGCACTTACGGAAATTGAGCAGTGAGGGTCCACGTCCCACAGTGGGATTCGAACCCGCGACGTAAGGATCAACTCCTTACTTTGCGACTCTAGAGCAAATGCTCTAACCACTGCACCACGCGGGCGACTAAGATCTTGTGTAAAGGTGATTTAAATGAAATTCAAAACTATAAGTTTTCTTTCATAATATGAAATAAACAATGCAATTCCATTTGGTTAATATTTTAATTTAAAAGTTTTAATTTAGATGACTCAGGCCAAAATAAAAAATACCTTTGTTTCCCCTAACGTGACCGACCCAATTAAAACGCGCCGACTGGAAAGTTTTTTTCATAAGATTATTCAAATATTTTTTTTTTTTAATGTTTATCAACTTCTATAAAATAAAATTCCATCAAATCTGTTTTTTATCAGAACGACTGATTTTGTTCTGTGATTTTCAAGCGTTCATTGGAATCAAAATAGCGCCTACAACATGTGGTCACGGAGGGTTAGTTTATGTTTTAAAAGAAAGGCAACGTATCAACCTTATGCCTTTATCATATTAGAATCCTGCACTCTTCAAAACAATTTTTTTTATAAAATATAATATCCAATAACTAATTGAAAGTGTTTGGGTTGTATTTACTAGCCTGTCTTAAAATTAAGGTACGTAGAGAGCATGCTTAGGCCTATAGGCCCTCCTCATGATACCCCTCATGAGCAGACAAGGGGCCCACCTTGTGAAAACACCAATCAATTTCATTGCATTTTATTTAATTTGAGTTCTGATCTTATACACAGCTCATCAATATTCCAATGTTTACTATTTGGGACCATAGGAGTTGTAAATAAGTCTGCATATTTCATCCTACTGAATAGAATTCAAATATGTCCTTTCTTCATGCCTTTTAATCATGGGTTAAACTTCGTAACATTGACATTGTGTATGACATGTTATCATTTTTATATATTGTTTGCCTCAATCAAATTTTTCCAAATAGATTTGAAATTATGATACAAGCTTCCTGAGACGTCCGTGTATTTTTCTTTAATAAGACCCTGGAAGATTGGTTTTTTCTTTGATTTGAATCCCTTTGATAATTGTTGGGACAACAAAATTTATTTCAACATTTGTCTGGTGAAGGACTCC